GTCAGTTAAATGTCTGACTCTTGGTTTCAGTTCAGGTCGTGATCTCAGGGTCATGGGATCGAATGCTGCAAAAGGCTCCACGCACGGCACGGAGTCTGCTTGAGATTCTTTTCCCTCTGCCCCTCCCACTGGTGCTCTCTGTCTCTTTAAAATAAATAAACAAATCTTTAAAAAAAGAGAAATACGAGAGTGGAGCTGAAGGGAGAAAGAGGTGGAGATAATGCTGGAGGGGAGGCCTAGTGTTCGTGGCAGAGTGCTTGAACTCTGTTTTAAGAGGACTAGACTAGTTTCTCCAAAACTCAGTTGCTATCATTCACATATTTAATAGGTAGAAAGTTGGAAATGGTGCCTTACTATGGATTTATTTTGTATTTCTTTTTATTGCAATCTGAAGTCTATATTCTTCTTTATGTATTTATGTGAAATATCATGTCTTTTATTTATTTATTTATTTATTTATTTATTTATTTATTTATTTATTTATTTATTTTTAAAGATTTTATTTATTTATTTGAGAGAGAGAGAATGAGAGCACATGAGAGGGGGGAGGGTCAGAGGGAGAAGCAGACTCCCTGCCGAGCAGGGAGCCCGATGCGGAACTCGATCCAGGGACTCCAGGATCATGACCTGAGCCAAAGGCAGTCGCTTAACCAACTGAGCCACCCAGGCGCCCTATTTATTTTTAAATTTATTTTTAATTCTTATTGGTTCTTATTACTGTTAAAAATTTATTATATAATGTATTATTTTTAAGTCTTCCATATTTGAGAGAAAATAATTTCCCCAAACTTTTTTTCTTTCATTTTAGTTCTTACCATCTTAAAACGTATGGCTCTTCCCATCTGTTGGTGTGATAACTCAGTGACGTATAATGATAACCATTTATTTCTCACTTGTGTCTGTGAATTATCTGAAATTCAGCTGATCTAGACTGGACACTGTATGGACACTATGTAGATAGCCGGTGTTTTTGTTTTTGTTTGTTTGTTTTTTGGCAGGATGATCCTATAGATATATTGATGTTTGGTTTCTTGGAGTAGGTTGCAACAATGCTATAGTTGACTGGGCAAGATCTTGTGACTCCAGTGATCACAGGCCTCAAGGTTAGATGTTTGTAGGTGAAAGGGAAAGGTGTCTTTTTGCTTGGGTTTACCCAACAGCACACCAGGGATAAGGATTTGGGTGCCAGTAGTTAGTTTATTTGGTAGGCAATTCCAGAAGCATAGTGAGAGAGTGGGGAAGGGAGAAAAGAAAGAAAAAACAGCCAGTAAAGTGTTCATTGATGAGCAGTTTACCACCATGGGCAGCTGGAGCTCTAACCTGCTGAAGACACTCTGAGAAATTACATAGAACATACCTTCAAATTATCCCCCAAATTATCAAGAGATTGAAGTGCCCACCTGCCAATTCCCATCATTCACTGGGGAGGGTTGCTCCTGGGATAGCAACTTCTGTTGTATGTGGTCAGGGGGCTACTAAGTACAGAGAAAACCCTCAGGAAGAGGGATGCAAGTATTATGGCAGGAAGTTGTCAGTGTGCAGGAAAATGTCCACCAAGCTGCAGGTAATCTCTAGGGTGGGACAAGAAGACATAGGCAGAACATCTGCCAAAAGAAGGTACTGGAATGCAGAGACTAAAACAAGCCCAACAATGTCATGACTCTTCCTATTAATTACTACTGCGAACTCAGCTGGCCTTCAGTAAATACTTGTTATGTTTAACCAGACCATGGGGTTCTTTTACCAGAATGTGAACACCTTGCAGGTAGGGACAGAATGGTTGTCTTCCTTTCCCAACATTTAGTTCAGAGGCTGACACACCATTACTCAACAAATGATGGTGTAGGGAGGCAGTTTAGGAGAGTAGAGAGAGCTTGGCCTTTGGGGCTGGACAGACTGTGTAAGCTCTCATGGCTTGGTGATTTATATCATTGTTTTCCAATGGACAAGTTACTTGCTTCTCTTATTCTATTTCCTCATTTTGAAATAGTGATGCTGGACTCAAATATTATTTTAAGAAGCAAATAAGTTAACAAACGTTCAGGGGTTGCTTGAGAATTTCTATATTGGGGGAACTTAGAGCAGACAGCAATCTAGACAGAAGGGAAAATGAGGCTAGGTACTTTGCAGAAGACTGAGATTATATCATTGGTTGGGGAAGAAATCCCTCCAAACACCCACTTGGTGCTTTCACAATATTTGTCTGGTCCTTAGACTAGGGCTTAGCAGGTTACAGGCATTTAACCAAATGAAGATGTTATTATCAGGCTATTATGCACAAGATTGTCCTGGTTTGGAAATGTGCTGAGAGTATATTGATAGTGTTTTTATCTAGGGATACATAACTGTTATTGCAGTATAATGATGTGACTCCTGAAGTGGAAGCTTATAGTTCAAGGCGAGAGGGTACCCTTGAAATCATTACTTTTTCCTTATATTTCTCTCATGTGAGTATCTGGGTTCATGTGAGTGACTGTCAATCTCAGGAATCAAGATTCAGAATAGGATGAGGAACCCAACCCAAAGCCTGAATGAGTGATGAGACGGTCAGTGTCCCTACCCTGAACATTGAGAATGGCCAATCCTGTCCCCATAGAGCATAAACTCTGTAGCATAGGGAGACTTGGTGGATGGTGGTGTCGGGGAAATCAACAAATTCATCCTATACAACAGGATGGGGTCCAGCTGTGTCAGTATGCTCACCATGTTTGCTGCTAGGCAGTTGGTGGGGTGTCTTGAGAAACTCGTAATAGGCTCCTCAGAGTAGGTGACTATGGGGGATAAGGGGCATGGTGGCTAGACATTGACTCTGAGTGATGAACATTCCATATCTGTGATCCGGGTTTCACTCTCTATGGATCCTAAGGCCTCTCAAGAGACGTCTCCTCTCTTTTGTCTCTGAATGCAGAACCATAAACCTGTAAGCAGCCTTGACTAGTATCTTTAGGGCTTGGCACCCAGCCAGTAGGGATTTCAAATCAAGACAGGAAACAAAAAAACTGTTGACCAAGAGAGTAATGTTCTGAGCTATTCTAGTATATTGGTATTTTTCCTTCAAATTCAGTTTGTTTTATTTTTTAATTGTGGAAGATCACATTTCTCCCTGCCGCCACACACACACATTCATCATCTTTATCCAGAGAAAACCGGGTATAGTCTTCCAGATCTTTTCTTATACATTATATAAATATATGTTTTAAATATTTAATTAGTTTTGTAAAAATATTTATACTTCTAATATCAACAGATACATTTTTTTCAGTATCATTTAACCTTGAGTTCATTAATCTTAAATAAACCTTAAAATAGAAAAAAAATTTTTTTAAAATGAGGCATCAAAATTTAGTAAATCTCTTATTTATGGACAGTTATGTTATTTCCAACATTTAGATGTTATAAATAATACTTTGATCCTTGTTGCTAGATCTTTATGATATCCTTAATTATCCTTAATTTGTTATTAAGTTCTCTTTCATATATATATATATATATATATATATATATTTTATCTCTTAGTCTCGTTGGGCCACATTCTGAAAAATTTTCTTGCTTACAGTTTACTAATTCTCTCTTAAGCTTTGTCTATTTAACCTTACTATTGAGATTTTATTTTTGATTTATCATATTTTGATATTCCTAAAAGTTCCATTTTCCAAATCTGCCCCCTCCTTCTGATATTTTCCATTCATTTTTCAAAAATGTCTTTCTTTAATCATTTAAACATGATTTTTTATGGATTCTACTGTCCTTGTTTCTGATAACAACTTCTAGTGCTCTTGTTCATAGTGGATTCTTTCCCCATGAGTTTTGCAGTTTTGGGCCATGAGCTCATCTTCTGTGGGACCTCATTGGGAATCCTGGTGTAAGAATATGTCCCTTGAGGGCGCCTGGGTGTCTCAGTCGTTAAGCATCTGCCTTAGGCTCAGGTCAGGATCCCAGGGTCCTGGGATCGAACCCCACATCGGACTTCCTGCTCCGCAGGAAGCCTGCTTCTCCCTCTCCCTCTGCCCCTGCTTGTGTTTCCTCTCTCGCTGTCTCTCTCTCTCTGGTTGTGTCAAATAAATAAATAAATAAATAAATAAATAAATAAATAAAATCATTAAAATAAAAAAGAATATGTCCCTTGAGAGAGATTTTCTGATAGCTTCTGACAGGCACGCAATGGGTATTATGAACTCAGAACATGTTTTGTGTTAAGTTATAGACATGAGAATTCTAGTGTAAATCTGAATGCCAAATCCATGAAGTCAGACCAATGGTTATGAATTCTCAAAGTAGACCATTTATTTCTCCATTTAGATTCTAGACAGAAAAATGTCATTGTCATTTTTCTCAGCCTTTGGGTGGATTGTTCTAGTTCAGCTTCTTACTTCTCACTGGCCAGAGTCCTTATCTGTGTCCCCTACATGGGTGTTAAAACCCAAACCTCTAAGTTATGAGAACAGAAAACGCCCATAGAACCTCCAGAGTTTTAGTTCAGCTATTCCATCTTGAGTTTCCAGGTTCCTCTTCATTTTTTTATGCCAAGCGACTTCCCTAACTTTCCTGCAAGCTCAGCTCTGCGTCTAAAAGGATCTTACATTTTCTCTAGTATTTTCACTTTACAATGAGAGAGTTTCTGGTTGTTTAGACTGAAATGTTACCAGAAACTAAAGGTCTTCAGTATTTCTGCAGTATTTCTCAGAGGAAGAATTTCAAATTTAAGAGGCATGAACATTTTTAACGTATCTTGTACAGTAACATTTGATAGATAATACACAATGTGGAAAGCAGTTTGACCTTGGAAAATCTTATGAGTATAACTCAAGAGCACAACGATGAACACGGACAGCTTTGAAATAAGTTCTTGGCTCCTTGGTTAATTCAATCTGTCACCTTATTTCTCTTTCATATTAAGCATCTTTTTATCAAAACTTTTTTTCAAGAAGCAAAAAAAGTGAGTGGCAAAGTGTGAAGCTGACTCTTAGATTTGTATTTCTGGTACTTTTCCCCTTTAACAGAACATCTGTTTCTTCATGAACTTTGGAAATATAAATCCAAAATGCCTGAACAGGAATGCTCATGGAATTCTGATGAACAAGAGTTTTCTGAAAAGCTTGTCCCCAGATTCTTACTTCTGCAAGGTGAGGACCTACTATATATAAATTCTATGTTCACATCACTCACAACTATATATAAGGCTGGATGGTGAAAACAGAGGAAGACACTACATAGGCATGGGGCAGGAGTGAATTAGTGCACAAGCTGTTATTTTTAGTGGCTACCTCTCCTAGTCCTTAAACTGTCACTGAAGAGTAGCTTTGAACAAGCTGCAAACCCCTGAAAGGTCATAACCCAGGAGAGGAGAGACTCTAGGAACGTGCACCAGGGAAGATGCAGATGGATAAACAAGCCATAAAGTGAGCCATATTTTCTCTTTTCCAGCATTCACTGAAGAGTTGACCTCAGGCTATTACCCTGTGAAAGTGGAATTTTAAAAGAGCCAACCCCAAACAAACCTGTACTAATTCCTGGGTGACTGGCTTTCCCCATTGCTAATGAAACCCAGGAGGGTCCCAAAGTGAGGTGTGACAATTTGAGAGGCAGAGTGAAGATCACAGAAGTGAGAAACCTATCACCTTGCTTTTCCCATCCTGAGGAGCATACAGGCCAGACTCAGCATGCCTGAAGTTCTCGTGGCCTGGACAGAGGTCCCACTGCCTAAGAGCTGCACGGGGATGGACACCCAGCTCTGCAACACCCTATCCTCTAGCTGGCCCAGCTCAGCTTCTCAAAGGTGCCTTAGCTGAGGAGGGCTTTCAGATGTGACAGCCCCTGCCCATGTCATTTCTGAGGAACCAGGTGAATGCATTCAAATGGAAGGAGGTGATGAGAACAAGAAATGGTGTAAGTGGGTGTTCTGACCTGCAGGTTGGCTGGCTGTGGGATCATGACTCTGGCCTCCGTCACAGGAGTAGGGTTAGAGCTTACAAGTTCTCATCTATCTGATAGAGGTAAATGGGATGGTGTTGGAGCAGCTGGATCTCTAGGAGGTTGGGAGGAAGGCTGGATCTCTAGGAACTGAGATATCAGGGTGTTATCTGCCTCAAATCTGCTTCTTATCAATCTCCGGATACTCCCTTGGGTGGTGGAGTCAGGCTCTGCCATACTCCTCAGAATGTGTCCAAAGAGTCAGAGTTAAGTCACTCATCAGACAGAGATAAGAGGTGGGCTACCTTTGCACTCATTTTTCCTTTCTTACTTGTCAAAATCTAGAGCCTCAACCATACATGAAATGATTTATGTATGAAATGATTATGTCTTAAGGCTCTGTGGAGCCACAGGTAGGAAAATAGCCTGGGTCCTTGAAACACTGTGTGGAGGAGTGTGCTTGCCAACCCCAGACACTAATTTTGGCTTGTATTTATATGAGCTAAAAAATAGCCCATCACCTCATGTTAGGAAAGTTTACTGTACTTTAATTAATAAATTATCTTTCTTAGATTTCTTTGCATGGTACTCCTAGATAAATTCTGCTCTTTTCTGGATGCCGTATCTTCCTTTAGTTTGGATGTATTTACATTTGAAGATTAGTCGAATAATTTTTAAAGAAAGATTACTGAGCAAATAAACTTTCTGGACTTTTTATGCAAAAAAGTCCCTATTTTGGCCTCTCTTAATTAGGTAGATTTTTCTAGATATAGAATTTTAAATTTAAAGCTATTTTCCCTCTGAATTTGAAGGCATCGCTTCATTGTCTTTTTGTGTCCAGTAATGCTAATGAGACTTTATGATAGAAAAAGTGTCAGGGGATTCAAGCAATACATGGGTAAAAGACCAATGTAAATAGCCAATCCACACACAAACAAGAATGAATCACTAGTAAATGGGAATCAGACACTAATGAGCACCCATTTTCTTCTATCAGATTGACAAAGATTATAAAAATGGTAATACTCAGCATGGGCACAGATTGGAAAAATGAGTACTTGTATACACTGCTGATGGGTCTGAAACTGGAACAAAATTTCTGGAGGACACATTTATTATTTTATTTTATTTTTATTTTTTGAGAGAGAGAAAGCACGCGCACGCACTGGGGGCGGGGTTAAGGAGAGGAGTAGAAGGGGAGAGAGAATCCCCAAACAGGCTTCACTCCCAGCGCAGAGCCTGATGCAGGGCTGATCCCATGACCCTGAGATCATGACTTGAGCCAAAATTAAGAGTGGGAACCCCAACTGACTGAGCCACCCAGGGCCCCTGGAGGACACATTTATAATACTCAGAAATAAAATCTATTACTTTTACCTTTGTAGCTGAGATTGTTTTTTTTTCATGCTGGAAACTTTTTAGTTCTTCTATCTTTGGGGTAGCAAAGTTTCATAAAGATGCGTTTAGGTGAAAAGCTATTTTTATTTATAAGCTCAGCACATACTGGGCCATTTCCACCTTCTGTTTTGTTTCAGCCTCAGGGAAATAGTTCTTTTATTTCTTTGATTTTTTTCCCCTCTACCTTCAGTTTTCCTGATTTTTTCTTTCTCAAGTTATTATTAGATGGATATTGGTCCTCCCGTATGGATCTATTATAGCTTTTAAATTTTCTCTTATGTCTTTTTTTGTCCTTTGCTTTATATTCTTTTTTCCCTTTAAAAAAATTTTTTCTTTAGGGACGCCTGGGTGGCTCAGTCAGTTAAGCGTCTGCCTTTGGCTCAGGTCATGATCACAGGGTCCTGGGATCGACGCATGCATCAGGCTCCTTGCTCAGTGGGGAGTCTGCTTCTCCCTCTGCCTGCTGCTCCCCGTTTGTGTTCACATTCTCTCTCTCTGACAAATAAATAAATAAAATCCTTAAAAAAATTTTTTTAAAGTAATCTCCATGCTCAATGTGGGGCTCAAACTCAGCACCCTATCCAGATTTGCATGCTCTACCAGCTGAATCAGCCAGGCACCCCTGTCCTTTCCTTTATATACTGAGATCTTAAAAAGTTTTCTTCTTTGCTTTCTTTTGGTTTATTTTCACCAAACATTTAAATATTAAATATTTTAAATTTTTATGAACTCCAGTTCCTTTTCATATCAACCTATCTTGTTTTGTGCATGTGATATCTTCATATAATTAGGTTGACCAACAAGGATAATAATTAGAATATTTAAAAAGTTCTCTTTCCCACAATTGTCTGTTTCTGTCACTGAATGTTTTTCTCTGTTTTCATGTTGGTCACTCATTTTGGCGTTGCTGATTTTCCTCAAATATATCTGGTAATCCCTGATCTTCTAATCTTATTCACAACTGAGGTCTATGTTGATTAATTTGAGTAGCTGGCATGTTTCTTCTTTACTTGGCTTTTATAAATAAAAGATAGTATAAAGAGTTAAAAATGTAATTTTAAAAACAATGTTATCTTATTAGAAATGGACTCACTTTAGTAAAATATTTTAGTTTTTCTGTATAATATGCTGGTATTATTGACTATTGATAGGGCATAGATTTATCTATATAGGAAATCTATAACATTTGGTTGATCCCACTTAAAGTTGTCTCATTAATAAAATATCTTACAAATATATATTTTGAAGTTTTATCTAAGAATTTTTTGAGTTAAAAATCTCTTCATAGAAGACATGTATCATATGACCTCACTGATATGAGGAATTCTTAATTTCAGGAAACAAACTGAGGGTTGCTGGAGTGGTGGGGGGTGGGAGGGATGGGGTGGCTGGGTGATAGACATTGGGGAGGGTATGTGCTACGGTGAGCGCTGTGAATTGTGCAAGACTGTTGAATCACAGATCTGTACCTCTGAAACAAATAATACATTATATGTTAAAAAAATAAAAACAAGAAGAAGAAGAAGATAGCAGGAGGGGAAGAATGAAGGGGGGGGAAATCGGAGGGGGAGATGAACCATGAGAGACTATGGACTCTGAGAAACAAACTGAGGGTTCTAGAGGGCAGGGGGTGGGAGGATGGGTTAGCCTGGTGATGGGTATTAAAGAGGGCACGTTCTGCATGGAGCACTGGGTGTTATATGCAAACAATGAATCATGGAACACTACATCAAAAACTAATGATGTAATGTATGTTGATTAACATAATATAATAAAAAATTTTTAAAAATCTCTTCATAGATATATAGTTGAAAATGTTTTAGGGAAATTGAATAATATTTTTTAGTATCAACACACTATTTTACACATATAGGAAAACCTATTGTATCATAGATATCTATAATTTGTGACCATGATGTATTGATGCCTTATGTGGGCAGAGATGTTTTTATTTATTTTTTATTTTTATTATTATTTATTTTATTTTATTTTTTTAAAGATTTTATTTATTTATTTGAGAGAGAGAGAGACAGAGACAGAACATGATCAGTGGGGGAGGAGGCAGAGGGAGAGGAAGAAGCAGACTCCTTGCTAAGCAAAGAGCCTGATGTGGGGCTCCATCCCAGGACCCTGAGATCATGACCTGAGTTGAAGGAAGACACTTAACCAACTGAACCACCTAGGCATCCCTTCATTTTTTATTTTTTAAGATTTTATTTTTTTTAAGTAATCTCTACACCCAATGTGGGACTTGAACTTAACAACCCCGAGATCAAGAGTCGCATGCTCTACTGATTGAGCCGGCCAGGTACCCCTGGGCAGAGATGTTTTTAAAAAGACTGGCATAAAGTATATGAAACTGGTATGGACACTATTAAGATAGTTGCATGACTTAACTATAATTATTTACAAAATAGACACATTATGGGGAAATCATGTATTGTTGACAAAAGAGATTATTTTTCTTTTTAAAAACACTCCTAAACTGATTGGCTGCATCAGCCTGGTGAAAAATTTTCACTCAAAGGATGTCAAGATCTTTTCCCATGATCTCACATTGCTACCCATTCATTTTTCACACATGGAGCCTTGTTCCTGCTGGGGCTCACAGTCATTTTGTAGGCTACATTCATCTCATCACAGTGAAGCCATTACACTTCTTTCGGTCTTCCTTACAGTTTTGCTCCATGCATGCTTAAAATCTGGGAAAAACATACTCAGGCGCTGGAGAAACAAAAAAGCAGCAATTTCCTTGCCTTATTCCTTGGCCGGTGATGAAGTAGAGAGCATGATGTGGTTATTGGAGCCAGACCTAACCCTGGCCATGGGCATTGCAGCTGACCTAAACCTAATTAAGAAAGATCCTGAATAAACTTGGGTGAGAGCCAAAATCACTAGCCTCTTCAATCAATATTTTTGATATAAAAATCAGCATCTGGGCTGAGTAAAAGGGAGCAGTGTTTCATGCCACAGCAAAAAAAAAAAAAAAAAAAAAAAAATTCCCCTCTTGCTTCTACCTTGACCTCCTGATGTTGGATATTTGACTGATTTGTATCTGTGATAATTTTCAGAGCAGTTGACTTACAAATGTCAAGTTCTGCCCTAAGCCCTGTCACAAGCATCAGCCATTTCCAAACTGGTAAGTGGGGCTCACTTGTTCTCTTATTCCTGTTTGATTACCCTGCTGATATATAAAGTTTAGCTGAAATAACTTTGTAATAAATTTGACTGGAAAAGGAATGTAGCATTCTCAGAAAAATAAAGCAAGGCCTTGTTGGAGCTTTGGAAGTCCTCTTCACATACTGCTAATCCCCTGACAACTTCAACAGACTGGCCTTCCAAGATGAGTCTACTCTTAATCTCTACGAGGGTGTCCAGGGGATAATGTATATCAGAGTTCTTAGTGGAGTGTCTGGTGCATGATAAGTGTCCAAAAAATGATTGACTTGCTATCTTTCAAGACACCACATACCTACTTTAGAAATAATTCCTAGTCCTGATCCCGGAAATTTGCAGGCAGGGTATGAGATAGAGAATGAAAATATTAATATTTGACTCATGTCCATGCCTTTGTTATCCTAAAGACTACTTTTAATGAAGTTGAGACCAACTAAGGGACAGTTGAAGACATCTCTACCTTTTAGAGAGATTCAGTGAAATATTCCCTAATGAAATCATGATTTCTAGGGCTTGCTTCAAAGTAACCTGTGAGTGGGGGAAATAGATGAAAAAGACTAGCGGTGAACTGATAATGTTTGAAGCTAGGTGATAGGTGCACATGGGTTCATTATACTATTCTCTCTCTCTTACTCTATGTTTACAGTTTTCCATTTTAAAACTTTTTTAAAGGAGATGGATTAGAAATAATTATTTTTAAGTTGATGGACTGCTGTCAGTTCAGAGCCGAGTCCCTCCCCAAGAAGTGCCTTTGGCTGAATGGAATTGTCTTGGCCAAGGTAATGCCCTCCCCTACACCTCTACCTTGGTAACTTGTATCTAGTGATTAGTTGATGGCAGAAAGGATATAGAAGCCTAACTCCCTTGCTTCACTTTGAGATAATTTAAAGGGCCATCTCTGTTGCATACCTCCGCACAGGAATGACTAAGGCCTTTCTATGGTGAAATTGTAGTTAGGCTTCTCCCTTTTCCAATCCTGTCTCCTCGCTCCATCCTAGATATTGTTGCATTGTATGTGGTCTCAGTGTTATGCTGGTAAAGGTTTAACAGATGGCTCTCCAGATCCTGAATTTGTAGTGTTTGCCAATTTTCATGGTGTAAATACTCTCAGCATGGCCAATTTCAAGCTACCAAGGTGATGTCACAGTTCAAGCCAGTGCCAGCCACCCTTGCCCATTTTCCTTAATGAAATTCTTAAATGCAAATCTCTATCTGAGTCTCTATTTAGGGTAATCCAAACTAACAAAGAACCATAAGAACCATCAATTATTTTTTCTATTGTCTATTTTGATGATTTGTCTATTAAAGAAACTAGTATTTCACAGGCAGAATGAAATGAAATTGTTTACCTCAAATGTTTCAGTGAAACACACACACACACACACACCCTACAATACTGTAAGACAATGTCCCATAATTGCTTTGAAACATTTAAAATACAGACGCCTTTTAATTTCCAAAGATTACACAGCTGCTTAAGGTGTTCTGAGAAAACAGACTTCAAATATGTTGCTCATATGGAGACCAGGAAAAATGGCCAAGAAATCACCAGAGAAGTTCAAAATATAAATTTTGTTATTATTGCCATAAATCCAAGAGAATTAAGGTTTCCTCATCGAAAATTTTAAGTCAGAGTAAGCCACTTACAATATTTGCTATCTCTGAAGAAAATACAGAGGAGTATTCCACGTGTGAAGAACTGTTAAGACTTTCACCCTATTGGAGAGCTGTTGTTGGAATAAATAATCAGAGGCAGATTATTCTTAATATCCAATGTTGTAGAAAGAGAAGGCACCTGGAAAATGGGAACAAAATGTCCTGCTGAGGAGAAAAGTTTGGAATAATTCACTTTACTTTAGTAGTATAAGCACCTTAATTGTCCACAAAGAATGAGGACAAAGTTTCTGTTATGTTATTAGAGACAACTGATCTATGCAAACAAAAGCTCCAACAATGGTTCTCAAATTAGGGCATGGATTAGAAGCCCCTGAGGAGGCTGGCTAAATGTAAGTTCCTGGGCTCTTCTGATTCAGTGGAAGTCTGGCTGGGGGCCCAGGGACCTGCATTTTAATAAGCTTCTAGTAAATTCTGAAGCCCATGGTGTCTGTCAAACCAAAACATGCTGAAAGGCAATGTAGCCAAACATCCACGGTAACATAGTTCCATAATAGGATTAGGGATGTGTCTATGCCATTTCCCTGTTAAGCAAATGTATCCCCCCTACGAATATCAGTCTGGATTCTTTATGTTCTGTTTCACTGAAGGCCACATCTTTTAAAACATCTTTCATCTATCTATCAACCAGTCAGATTCTCACCTCTGTACCTTTATACTCTTGCTTGCTCTGTAAAGGAAGTGGAAAGTGTGTGTGTGTGTGTGTGTGTGTATGTGCACATGCGCATGCATGGGAGGGTTGGGGCACAGAACAGAGTTTTGTGAGAAAATTCCCTTTCTCAACAGAACCAACCAAAGGGACATTTTAGGCTGTGGTATAGTTATTGAGACTCAACAATCCCTATCGATTTGAAATTGTGCTTTTATGAACCTAGTGGTAGATGTTTTCTTATAAAAATTAAAAATTCTCATAATCACTCTTAACCAACCTCATTCTATCTATGACATATACTCCTATATTACCAGCCCTATTGTATCTGGATCCCTCCTAATGTTCTCAGGAAGCATAGAATTTGGTTTATACTTGTTCTCATAAGTGTATTCAGTGTGGACCCTCTGACAGAGATAGTTTTTTATTTTCTTTAAAAAATCTTGTACATGAGAATGTAATAAATTGTCTTAGGACTCTGGGATCTTGATGAAGCAGGAGTAATGTCCCCCTTGCTCCCCAGGCCAGGTGGATAAATAATTATTTTCCTATCATGAGTTAGACTCAGGATCCTCCATAAAAGTAATAAAGATAGACGAATATTCCTGCTCACAAAGACACCCTAAAACCCACAGGGTGGGTGTGAAGATGTGTATGAAGATCATGAACATCTAGAAAGGAAGGGGATGTTTACTGCTTGCTGTACCTCAGTAAGGGCCTCTTCGTCTACTGTTCCTTTTATAGGACTGAAGACATTTATGCATTTTGGACAATTAACTGGAATCAATTTCACTTAAATGCACATTTTCAAGAGAAAAGGCCTTCTTGGGGACATGTATACCACATATATTTTCTTTGCATAAGTAATGGTGCACCAATGCATTGGGGAGAGTTGTAATTTAGTTATTAAAATTAGTCACTGGATGGGGCAACTGCATTGTCAGAACTCATTTCCTCTCCTCGTTTGCTGATAGTGATCCTTACAAATGTGTGTGAGAAATTTTATCATTGTGATCACTTTTAAATTGATATACCTGGTAGCGGTTTTACTTTTCCCATAAAAAGCTTTCCATCTTTTAATCTGTTGTGAGCACCAGGCATGTTGCTCTCTCGAACACCAGTGCTCCTGGCTGGGTTTCTATCTCACTGCACAGCATGAAAGCTTGAGTCCGTTTGTGTCACAAGTCAAACCTCTCTTGAAGTGATTTGTTTATACTGTCATTTGATGGAGTGGAATGTTCTGTAACTCATTCGAACTATTACAGAAGCTTTGCTAAAAGGTCACCACTGCTCTTTAGAGTTTCCAAATCTGGGAACCATCTGGGAGCTTGTTAAAGATAAAGTTTTCCACTGGCTTTTTCCATACCAACTAGAACCAATTAGCAAAAAGGTACTATTCCAGATAAGTTTGTGTTCACATTTAGAAAGAGAGAGAGACAGGCAGTCAGACAGAACAGAGGCAGAGAGATAGAGAGAGACAGAGAGAACTCAAGGAAATTACAGTTCGTTGCTCAATAGTGTACAAGCCCACTTTACACCAAAATCGGATTACATGTGCCAGCAGACGGTAAGGACTATTTAATAGGCCTGAACAGGGGTGTCAGTCTTAAAAAAGTTAAATAGAATTTGCTTTTTAATGTCGTTTTTGAATTAATACATTCAAGTATAGTCTTGAGAGCCAACTCTAAAGGAAACTGCATCTCACCAATTACCCAAATTTTAATAGGAAAATGACAACTCATTCCTTAAAGTAATAAGGGTTATGTATGCAAACTAAACATTCACTCCACATGGCACCAACAGCCTTCCAGTTGTTATAACATTACAGTTTGAGTCTAGGCCTACAATTGGCTTGTGTTTGCTTTCTGCCCCCTTCCTTATGAAACAAAAGTCTTGACTTTTCCAAACCTCAAAAGCTCAGCTGTAAAACTGTAGGAGACCAGGAAGAGGAAAAGGAAAGTTTCCTTCAAAGATGTCTGGAGTTACTGGCTGGCCAGTCCCTCTCTCTCCCTCCAAACATTAACTATGGCTTTTGACACTTGTCCTTGGAAAAAGTCCAAATGTGGCAAATGGTAGAAGCAACATTTCTTTACTCTCCTGCCTGGAGTTCTAGCTGGGCCATTCATGGGTGAAACAAGGTCAGCTACTGCCCACCACCTTTGCTCATGTCTGCGGATGAAATAAGTACACACATAGGGAGATCTACTGAATTAAAAATCAAAGCCCTCTCCTTTGGTTGGAATGCCTGAAAGAGTCTGGACCAAAGAGTCTGCACAGTAGCAGCTAAAACACAGGCTCATTGCCATTAAAAATGTTCTAGGAAGTGTGTGCGTGTGTGTGTGTGTGTGTATTTGTAGCAGGATATTTGGGAGAGGAGAAAGTTAAAATCTGGAACCATATTTTTGTCTCTGCAGTCCCGAGCTGGAGATATTAAAAACACAACCTTTCCTTCAGTTCAATTAAGCTGGTTTGGAAACCAAAATTGTCCTTAGAAAGGGGGAAGAAATCCATTTATATTCCTTTTGAGGCAAAACAGGGGTCTTTCGAGCAAAGTCTTTAGGTGAAATTCAGGACCAGGAAACTTAATCTTCCAGTTCAAAGCTTGTCTCGTCGTAGAGTTCGGGGCGTGTTGACTTCCTGTGCCGAGAGTATTTCAGTTGCAGAAGATCGCCCATTTCATCCAGGTTTTCCAAAACCTGCAAAGAGATTGCGTTCCATCAGTTATTCTTTAAACTCCTAAGCCCCGCAGAGATACAATCTTCTTTTGCCAACTTCTTTGATTTTAAAGAAGAGGAGAAAGATCCAAATCATTAAGGTGTGGCTTATAAACCAGCCCTAGAGGAATGTTAGATTCTACTTAATTTTATTTCATATTCTTTAATAGTCTACCCCACATCATGAGTATTTAATTTGTTTTTGGGGTGTGAGGAGAGGAATAAAAGCATCTGACCAATGCTTACCCTTTCAGACTTTATTTTAAAGTTTAATGACATATATATAACCTTGTGGAAGAAAGAGGTAAGTTTGCAAATTACATTTGGGTTTATGTACAGCATAATGACACAGCAAATCAACCTGGCCAGGGGTAAAATGGAACATTGCAGGAGCTGGTTAGTGTCCTCTTCTCTCTCCCATACTGCCCCACCCGCAGCTTTTAAACACTCATCTCTATGTTCCATGGAATCACAGGACTTAAAACCACAAAGGACAGAGAACTCATCTGTTTCAGTTCTCTCAATTCAGGCAGATAAATGTATCCCCAATTTTCCAAAGAAACAACGGAGATGCAGAATAGACAAGATGTAATTTTCCCATCTAGTGTACCACTAATCTTATGGTACTGGGCATGTCTTTTTAGCTTTTTTAGGCCTGTCTTGACCTGTCAAATGAGGCGGACGATATTAGGATCTAATGATTTGAAAAAGGTGAGGATGTTTGTTAATTCTGGAATGAATGACTAGTGGAGCTTATGGGCTTTCCTCTTTGGGGAAGTCTTTCAAACTGGCATCAAGTTCGATATCCACCAACATATGAAGAGTCATTTATTTCTGGGTGGTAGCATTATGGGTGGTTAAAATGTTCTTTTTACTTCAATGTACTTCCTAAATTTTTACATCAAATCTAAGCACTAAGACAAAGTAACAAAAGTTATATTTGAAATGACATCAAACCAAGATAGTGTCTATTGCTCTTGGCTGAAGTGGGGATGGAGTAGCTCAGAGTGGGGCATCTGCACACTTGGGGGAGATGAGAGACAATTCATGGAAAGTGTGGGAGAACATAGGATTTCTAGTTATTTTAATCTCAGTCTTTTTAACTTCCATTTTTGTGTCTGCTATAAAATGTGCATAATATATTGGCAGTGCATAAATAACTTATAAGTGGATTTATGTTGAAGCCCACTGATCAGATGAGCACACCTGTACTCAAAAAAGGTAGGCATGAATTACAGAAGAAGCATCTTAGTAAGAGGGAACTGGGAAGGGCTTCTTCCATTTTACCCCTGGCCAGGTTGATTTGCTGTGTCATTTAGACTTCTGCTCTAGATGACTCTAAGGAAGCAGGGACCAGTCTGGGTTGATGCTGTTTTGAGCGGGAGAAGTTCAGTGATTGGCTCTATGCAGAATTCTTATGTGGCAGGTGGGATGACTGAGGTGAGGTCATTGGTAAAGGAGAAGCTGTCACTCATGTTAGAAGAAGGAAATTCTAAGCCATTTTGTGTTTGTAGAGTGACCTCATCTCTGCTTTGTTCCAAACATGGTCATAGAAGGGGCTTATTTAGTATGTATTTTCTGTGAGTGTTATATTCATTTAACTACCTCAATGTCCGGGCTGTTCAAAGGTCATTTTTCACTTTCCCTTATGTGCATATTAAGGAATATGCTCACAATTTTTTTTATTGATATAGGTGCCTGATTTCAAAAGTTTAGAGGCATCTGTCTAGATGATGTCTCAGTGCTCCTTCCAAACCAGGTATTCAATAGGAATTAAGAACTTTCGAAGAGAATCCCAAGGTCTGATGTCTCCAGAATTAGGTATCCATGAATACCTCAATGCTGTTGGGGGTCACAAAAAATACAAATCACCCACTGCTGTCCACCCATTCCTCTCATCTCTGGGAGCATGCTCCCCGGTCATGTCCTTTCCTCTCCCATGCCTACTGCCTCTCTCTCATTACTTTTTCCTCTCTTAATGTGTAAACATGCTCAAGTCTTTCAAGGGATTTATAAACGTTTTTTTTTTTTTTTTCTTGCTTTTGTAGTGAAACTTGGCTTTTTCTATTTAAAAGAAACAATTTGTTAAAATTAATTACTAGAAATATATACTCATTTTGGAGAACCTGGACAACATAAAAAGTTCTAAAGAACAATAACAACGGAGTTCACCCATCATGTCAAAACCTAGAGTTAGCTCAATTATTAGTGTGTCATGCAAGAAATTGTTATTATGTATGCACTCTGTAGTGGACACTGGTTTAAGTCCTAAGAATGTCATGGTGAAGCAGAAGGACATGGACACTGTGTGTGTATAATTTATTATTTAAGCTCAAAGTATTCACTTTTTTATTCTTTGTAGAACTGTCTCCTAGTGTCTGTATATATACATACAAATGTGTACATACATAATATACATGCACACATAACAATCCATAATACATGTTATATGTGCATGTATATTACACATATACACATAATTCATTCCCATCTTCATATAGAATAACTCATTCATATATAATGAGTGACTTCATATAATCCCATATATAATTCCTACCTTCATGTTCCACAGTTATCTATATTTCTTTTCCAAGATGAATTTATTCTGTCTGGTATTATCACTAGTTGCTTATTTATTAGTATCTCCTCTTAGAGTTTTTGCTCCAGGGTTTTGCACAATAGTAGACACTCAACGTGTTTGCTAAATTGCTTTGACACTAGGAGACAGTTCCATCGACCCCAAACTGATTGAGATGGCTTAGTTTTCTGCTCTCGCTCATTCACATAAAGATCAAAACCAAAGGACAGTGAAATGTGGTTATGAAATCATTAAAAGTCAGTGTGGGTCTGGATGATATGATGGACCTGTCTTTGTCATTGCTTTGCCAACATGTTGCTTAGTTGTGTCATATTTTCTTATGAGGGGTTTGGTGGCTCTGAAAAGTGTCAGGTTGTGGGCGGTTCATGCTGAAATAGCATGTCAGATTAGCTTTTGCATTTAAGATCAAGGAAATGGCACAACATGTGGCTACTCAGCCAGTCTTTTTTATGAAACCAAAATACTGCCTTGAGTCAAATCTTCACTAAACTCATTTTTCTTTTCTATCCCCTGAGTTGATCACATTGTTGGGCATTGTTGGCATACCCGTTTTTTTGCAGTGAGTTTTATGAGTGTTGGTTTTCTAAACCATCAAGAGAACCATCAAGAGAAATTTAGAGAAATTTAGAGCAAGCTCAATAAAAGAATGTGCCCACAATGCAAGGTGCCAGCACTGATGGTTCTGTTGCCCTGTGGGGTACTCACCGTGTCTAGCATCTCCCGGGTATGTGCCGCTGAAACACAAAACCGAGCCCGAGCTTCTGCGAGGGGAGTAGCTGGAAATCCAACGACCACCACCCCAATTTTTCTGTTTAATAGATGCCTTGCAAAAGCCCTATGGGAAGGGTAAAGAGAAGGTTAGCTGAGAGGTGACAAAATTACATGGCAAGAAAAGGAATACGGCTAATTGACATTTCTTATAACAATAAATAGAAGATGATTGAAATTACTAAACTTCTGTTACATGCAATTGACAAGGAAATGAGGCAAGAGGGGGAAATGAGGCAAGAGGGATGCAGGGAAAGAAATGGGTACACAGAGAGGCTGGTTGGTAGATGCAGCCTATAGTATGTAGGTCATAACTACAAAGCTTTCTGACACAGGGTGTAAACTTTCTCAGCTGTGATTCCTTCCCATTATCTGCTTCTAGACACTTTCTTTTTCAAGCTAATCTCAGTAACGATTCTAGAATATCGATCTCTAAAAAGTCTGTAGATTTTTTGTGCTAAGACCCAAAGTCAGACAAAAAAGCATGTGCCCCTAACTGAATCTTTCCCCACTTTGTGCTCTGTTGTTCTCTGCAGGAAACCTTGCTTACTAAATGTCTCTGCCCACAAGCAAGGTAAATGCCTCAGATCTGTTCTCATCATTAAGAGGATTCTGGTGTCCTTTTTTTAGGCTGGAAGCTGACAGCACCACAGAAACCTTCCAGTCATAACTCAGGAGGAATTCTTGAACTAGACGTGGAGAGCTAGCTTGTTCGTTTATTCATTCTTCTTGCCATGGAGCTGTCTGCCTTTTTGGTTGCCTCATGCAGAATGCATGCTATCAAATGAAGTGATGGAGATTGCAAGATCTACTGAACACACAACCTCTCTGGCCCTGTGGCCCAGGAAAGGCAAGATTTGCCTTTGATTTGGTTGAGGAAGATTAACAAGGAGATGAAGCTTTCTGAGAAAGCTTGAAAAACAGAGGCTGTTATTTCTCTTTCTTGTTCACCCTATGGAAGGCTGCCCATGGAACTACACAGGATGAGAGCTCATAATTATCTGAGAAACAAGGCAAGTGCTTTTATTGCTAGAATACAAGCCACCTGACCCATGATCTCAGGCTAGTTTTCAGGACTCCCCAAAGACCATTTTCACTGTCTGCATGTTTCTCTTTGTACCAGAGGAAGTGAGTTTTGCCAAAGAATGTAGAGCAAAATATATGACTGTTGATTCATTAGGCTAATCTGAGGCCTCCCTGGAGCACTTTTGGGCTTAAAATTTACACTACTAAACCTGGCCTCCTTCAGTTAATGTCTGATTGTCCTGAACATTTTATACAATGAGCCTCTGGGTTTGTACTCGCCAAAACAAATGAGAGCCAGTGTGAGCTGACAGAAGCTAGACTACGTGGATAATAATAATAAAACATTAGCACTGCATATATGCAGCATCACTGCATCCTGTATCCCACCATCCTACAAGTGTCTGACGAGACCCATGGAAGGAAAATGTCAACTCTGCACCAGAGAGTAAATACAATATATTCTTGATTATTCAAGTGAATGTTTTATGGGTGAAATCACATGATATTGGACATCGTAGAAGATTCCTGTGGTAGGGTTGCAATGAAACTTTGCTCAAAAGGATACCTGGCTGGAGATCATATTTTCATTCTGCAGTAGGTGGACATGTGGAGAAATCACAGTACTTTAATACAATCAAAGGGTTGAAAATGAGCAAATGAAAGAAGTGCTCATACGCTGGCTTATACAATTAACTCCTTGTCTCAAAAGCTTTTCTCCATATAAACTTTCCATTGAAGAAATATCTGAGAAGAAAACAAAGCCAGGTGGCAGGGAAGCTCTTGGCAGCAACTCCTGCCAATAAGAGATGACATTACCTTTTGTAACTGACCTATTCTAAGTTTCCTTAGAAAACTCAAGCAATTAGAGTGTTTTTTTCCCCATTTGTAGTGACTGAGGCCTTTTGATTCACCAAAGATGACACTGAGAGTTAAACTTATACTCTGTGTTTGCTTTAATGAGATGTGGATATCCCCCCCTGTGGACTAAAGCTTCAGAGGCCATGCTATGCACTGAAAAGAGCTCTGGTATAGGAGGCAAATGGAACTGGCTTTTAATTCTGGGCTCTACTGCTTGTACAACCTGAGTGACCCTTAGAAAGTAGTCTAACTTTTGTGGGTCTTGGTGCCCTTGTTTATAAACTAGGGCCAAGCATCCACCCTTGGTGGGTGATCGCTGGATCTGACAGTCTTACTTAGCATAGAATCAGCATTCAGCCACATCAGATCCTCCTTAAATACCATCTTCACTGGAAGGCACTAGATGGTTTGACATATCATCCAGGGTTCAATATGGCATATTTGATTCACACAATAGCAGGACCTCCACCTACTATTTTCCTGGAAGTTCTATTTTTATTAATGCAACCAAAGGTTGCAGTAACTATTTTGGAGAGCCATGCAACCATGGTGATCAAATCCTGCACTCAGTTGAAACTAATAATAATAATCATTGCACTAGTAGAAGTCCTAGTAGTAGTAATAATAACCACCACTGATAAAGTGCTGATAGTACACCAAGTACTATATTAAGTGCCTTATATACTACTAATAATAACAGCTCCCACCTAGTGGCTCCTATATAAGAGACAACATGCTTTATGCTGACAGACCTCATCTTGTTTAATTGAAACAATTATGAAATAAGTACTATTACATCCTATTTTAAGAATGAGAAAACTGGGGCTTCAGAAAGTTGGGCAGCTTGTCCAAGATCCCCCAGCTAGCAAGAGGCAGAGTCAAATTCTTCTTCATTCCACACTCCTCACTACACCAAGGAGCACAGTTTTTACAAATAACACCCTCTGATTTCATTTTTCACATTAGCTCTTGTCCACAGAAGTACTCCCTCTCTCTTTCTGTTATTGCAAAATTCAATTCCTGAATTTAAATGCATTTGCTTTAACACTTCATGGACTCTTCTCAGGGCATGGATTCATGTTAAAATTCTATTTCCAGCCTTCACCAGCAAAGTCAGAACTATATGGCATGCTCCCTAGGACCACCCTCCAGCATTGTGCACTTTAGACTCTCAAAAATAAAACACATTTATTTTGGTGTCTTCCTTTGAGCTAATGATAACATATTAGAGAGACGTGTGCTAAGTGTGGAATCTTTCTTCCACAACATACCATTTTGCTAACCATTCTGAATAAACGTAGGTTTTCTTTTGTGCCTTCTGAAATTGGATGGTAAAGGGTTTGGGATCATATGCTACTTTGAGTCCCTGTTGCCATTCCTCCCTGTGGTAAGTACCAAGCAGTATCCTGTGGGACTTTTCTGTAGCTCAGTATCCTCTTGACCACTCCATGCACTGTTAGCCTAACCCAGATCTGTGAACAAAGGGCCCACTGGCGGTAATGGTGTGGCAAGTGAAAGAACTCACGTGTGTGTTTTAACTGCTTGTTATTTTGCTGTGGTGAAATGATAGAAGAGTGTATGCTGAAGAATTAACACAGTCCTATCCACCGTGAGTTCTCAACTGATAGCCCCGGAATCTCTTCTCTTACTTAAAATACTCTACCAATCTATTCAGACTCTTAAAGAGTCAAACAGAAATTTCCAACAATGGGATTATGTTGTAGGAGAGTTAGGACATCTAGAATCTTATAAATATATGTTGACTATTACTTTCCACCATGCACATGGTCAGACACCCAAATAAATATTTTATATTTAGAAAGGACTTTAATTAACTTCCTTTTAATAACAGAAGTAGTTAGTCTGTGGCAGGTTGGAGAATGGTTCATGTATAAAATTGTCTATGCCATATTGAGAAAAAGTCATTTTTTCTCTTTATGCAGTTGTTCTCATGCTCAATTTCAGAGTTGCAATCAATGGGAAACAACTCCACGTAGATTTATAGGAGAGGCATTAAAATTTGGTGTTAAGAGCATGAGCCTAAGTTTGGGTTTGCCTCTTGATATTCTCTTGATTTCACTACTGCTCGACTTGTATGACTTTAGGCAAACTATTTAATTGTCCTCAGCCTCAGTTTCCCCCACACTTGAAATAAGGCTGCCTTCTTCTGAGGATGGGCATGAAAGGTGAGTGGAAAAAGCAAAGAGCCTGGTAATGTTGTTTTCAAATGTTGGGAGAGATGGTCTCCAGAAGTTCTCCCTGAAAAAGACTGTGGGGCAGAAGGAGGCAAGGATCATCCCTAATTTACAGGTGAGGCCTAGGGGGTGACACCCAAATTCACAGGGCTTGAAAGTGGTGGACACTTGAATCTCTTCTTAGAAGACCTCTTTGCTGATGGGCTGGCAGTTGGCTTCAAAGAAGCTGTACAAGTGAATTCTGAACTCAGCACCCCATTCCAAGCACATAAGCAATGCCCATGCTGAAAGAGCCTCATAGAGTCAGAAGCACTGTCTTAGTCAGATCACCTTGGGGTCCGGTGTTATTCTGAGAGCCTGTTGAATACTCACGCTACTTTAGCAGGCATGTAAAGGAGCAGGGGAATGACTGGAGACTCCTCATTGCCATAGATAATGAATCCCATTTCATTCAGTCTCTGTCTGAAGTATCTTGTGTTTTTTGCAAGTTGCCGTACTCTCTGCAACCCTGAAAGAAGACAGGCATGAAATCTATCAATTTCCACCAGGAAGAGAGAAGCAAAGGTCAGATTGACTTGGCAAGCATTCTTAAGTCTTTCTGCAGGCCTGCATCATTAGCTGGGAGGGGGTCAAAATAAGGCAGGGAAATATCTCTTGGTGAGTAGGTGTGGGTACTGATGCCTGAGAGCTGTCTTTAGTCTGGAAGTCAGGATCCGGGGTGGGAAGGAGCTGTTAGGTTCTGCTAGCAACTAGAGGCAGGCTAACATGTGGGGTGGGCAGAGAGTGTGTCTAGCAAGAAGAAAAGAGATGAGCTATCATTTACTAGGTACCTACTGTGTATGGACTCTGTGCTAAGTGCTTTAAAGACATTAACTCAGGGGAAGGGAATGTGACAAGATGTGACACAGACACAGACACACACACACCACACCACTTGTTGGTAGATGCTTTTCAGCCAAGCTGAGCTGGCCCATTAAGTTGCTTCTCATCCAAGTCTCTAATCAAAGAGCACTTCACCTAACCTGAGCTTGAAGGGGTAGCACATCCCTGAACAAAGATAGGTCCAGCTGAGACCAGAACTGTTTTGTGAGGCATTTGGTAGTGGTAGAGTAATAGAGGGAGAGGAATAGAGGGAAAGGAAGAAGGGGACCTCTGTTTTCCCCATGCACCAAAAATGACAGCATGGGCTCCAAACAGAAGGTCAAGGAAGGTATATGTGTCCATTTCCAGGTTATTGGTACTTCAGCTCAAAAGCTTAGCTTCTGTCCTCCATGTGTGTCCCAGGGGGAGGTCACACATATGAGATGGCAAAGGGAATTAAAGAGTGGAAAGAGTTCTGAAGAAATCTCTCTACTCCATTACTGCCTCCAATGAGGCAAGTGAGCAAATCAGCCAAAACCAGAGTGTGTGTGCTTGATACAGAAGATTGAACAGAATTGGATATTTAAGTCCCCTAGAAATCAGTCCAACATTTGCATCTGATGCAAAGTGGCTGTTGAGCAGGAACAGCTGCTACAGCTAACACCGTTATGATTGGTTGGGTGTCTATTCAAACTGATCAGAGTTCTTGCTTTACTGGTTTTTCAATATTCTGAACATCACTCCTGGGTGTCTGTAACTCTGCAGATGGAAAATGGGTTAAAATGTCAGTAAACATGTCAATCATGGTTCTCCAGTTCCTTCTTGGAGAAATGGCTCAGATTGTGTCTTGACACACAGGTTGAGCAGTGGACATTTCCTGCTCAACATCCTTCCTCCAGGGGCCCATGATGTTCAGTTGGCCCTGACTTTCCTCTTTGCTACAAGGATATCATATGACCAAGGCCTAGCCAATTGGAATACTCCATCACCCTGATTATTAGTTCAATGATGAAATACAACCTGGGCCTATCAGAGTCTTTCAGATCTGCTGAAGAAGTGTATGAATGAGTTCATCCTAAGCTACATGTTTGTCATCATATGGAGGAAACCTGCTTGAGAATGATGTTGACTCAGAAAGCCAAGGTACAATGACGGCATCATTGTAACCCTCGGGCCTAGCCATGCCTAAGTGAGTCTGTCCTTTGGACTGTCTGTTGTGTGAACCAATACATTTCTTTTTCTTAAGCTATTTGAATTTATACAACCTATAACCAAATGTGTTCTGAGTAATACAGGTGGCCACTTATTGTATGGGGTTACTTCTAAAGGACAATAATAATATCAACAACAACAGTAATTGTAGCTCACAAATACATAATGTTACCACTGTTATAAGCACTTGACATTTAATAATTTATTTAGTCCTCACAACAACTGTATTGAACTAGATGCTATAATCTCACGTTACACATGAAGAGAAGCCAAATAACTCACCCAAGTTCACAGAGTTGGTAGGTAGCAGAGCCAGAATTTGAACCCAGGTAATTGGGTTCTAGAATCTGTGCTGTTAACCTCTACATTATGCCCAAGAGTAGCAATGGGTGATGTCTACCTAGATAATGGATGATAGCCAACTCTTCACTAAGCTCAATAAAATACACTCTTCCAGCTATTATGATCATTGTTATACCAAGTTTTTCTAGTAGAGGCAGTTCAGAAGTTGAGGGCTGAGCAAGCTTTCAGTAGCCTCATGTTGTGAGAAAGGGGATAGGACATCAGGGACTAGAGTCTGAGGTCTGCCACAGGGTAGGACTGGTGAACTCCCTTCACTTTGAGTGGGGAGCCTGAAGGGTTACTCCTGAGAAGTAAGGGTGAACCAGAAGTAGACAGGCTCCCAAAGGGCACATTCTTTATCCAATCATCTGACATTTTTCACTAGGCTTTATCACTCCCAAAATAGTTCAGATCTTCTTCTGAGAGTTTTTCTTTGCTTGCCAGGCCCAAATCTACTTGACTTCTCTGACATTTTAAATGTGTTAACAATATATGCAAAGGAATGGAAATTTAGTTGAGTGGAACACCAACCAAGAAGGAGGGTGTTGAATTGTCCCTGCTTGTTTTCTGTTTCTATCCTTCACTCAACTCCAGTTCTCAAGGAAGTCTCCTCTCTGACTCTGCCAGCAGACTGTGATAGAGAAAGCATTGGGTTATTGTAATTCCACCATGCTGGCCATAGCTAATGGATGCAAAACACTCTTGATTGAAGGCCAGTCCACTTGGGTGTTGGCCAGAGAGTCATGACTTGTCTATCATGGGAACTTCACCAAAGAGATAATAAATATGAATTAAACCAATAAAAACCTCTTGCTGGTAGAGTGTGAATGTGAAAAATTTAGAGAAAGCCAACAATTGGTATTAAGACTAGAAACTGAAGGACATAGAAAAGCTTATTATCAGAATCTATAAGACATGGGAAACCACTGGTCAGTGGCAGCGATGATAAACCATATAGAAGAGAAGCGGGCAGTGCAAAGTTAGTCAGTAGCAACTGGAAGAGAAGAAATAGAAACAGGGAAGAGCATATAGTCAGTCTAGTAGGCAGACAGATATGACATCTAAAAATGCATGGAAAATTGCAACTCTTATGAGTGCTGTAAAGAATGCTATGTGGTGTTATGAGAACCCACATTAGAGAGATTGGACCAAATCTGAGGAAGTCAATACATGATGAGTGAGTTGAGATTGGAAGGATATAACCATGTTAACAGGCAAAAAACTAGAGGGGAGCATTTCAGGTACAGGAAACAGGTGCAATGGTCCAGTGGTTTGTAGAAGAAAAGAGTGGTTGAGAACCAGGTAGGATGTGGTTAAGTGTTGGGCAAGATAAGGCTGGAGTGATGGGTAGATTTTCTAAAAAAAAAAAAGAGGACAGGGATTGAAGAATCCAACATTTAGTGGTTGGGAAGAGAATGAACTTAAAAGGGAGACAAAGAGCAATCAGGGTGGGAGAAGACAAATCAGGAGATGAAATACTTTTTACTCATTTTATCAACATGGTAGTCATTGATAACCTTTACTTTTGGGGTCCCTGGTTGGGACTTTGGTTTTCAAGAAACAGGTAGCTGCAAATATGGTTTATTTTAATTCATATATGCTTTTATTTTCCCACTCATCTCCTTCAAAAAGGAAAAGATAAGCCTTCAACCCTGAAATTCCAGATTTGCAACATGAATACAAGTAAGGGATTGGGAGAGGTGTAGAACCATTTGTATACATTTTGCTTTGTAGTATGCTGAAGTGTTCCTTGGAAACTTGTATGTGTATAGAAAGCAACCTCTTTGAAGGCCAGAACTAGAAATGAGGAGGAGAATATTTGTCTTCATTTAAAAGAAAATTTCATCTCTACATGGAAACTGTGTATTTAGGGAGGTGAGAGCATAAGGAGTAGGGGGAGATTGTGGAAGAAGAAGGGAAAGAAAAAGAAGGACTGGGTAAGACTTGTTTTAAAGAAGGTGATTTAAATGAAGTCACAGATATACATCCCAGTCACTAAAATGTATTCCATATGGCCTGTCGCCTTGTATGTTTAGCTCTTTTGTTGATCATTAGCTGCACAATGAAGAGATGACTTCATCAGGCTGGGTCTGATGATTCCTAAATGATCCCCCTCAAAGACTAGAAGGATTTCCTGGCCTGGAAGTGCATGAATGACTTAAATTGCTTTTCCCAGTGGCATTATCTTTGCGCTTGCCCATAATGACTCATCTATCATTGGGCTGCCCAACTACTTAATTGGCCCCGTCTGTCCCCTTTGCCTTGATTAGCCCAAGTAACTGGATCATCAGCTAATGTCATCACTTTACTGCTTCTAGATCCTTTGGAGAGTTGACCAAATAGATCAGAATATTGATCCCAAGGGTAGCTAACTCTTAAGAATTGCCCTGTCTTTTCTATCTTTGAATCATTTAACACAGCATGGCTGACAAGCCATTATGATACACTTTGTGGTCACCATGTTTTCTCATATAGATCACTATTAATGCCTTTGAGGTCCTTTGTGTTGGCCAAGATACAGCTCCTTTCAATTACTCTATTGCTCACTCTTTGAAATTGGAAACATTCTACTCTTGTAGGGCCTGGGGGCAGAGAGGAATTTATACATATAAAATGCTACTCATCTAGGCAGGATGTGGGTGATTTTATTAATTATGGTGTGCTTTGAGATCCTTGTTTGAAGAGTGCTTTGTAAGAATAGGAGGAATTTTTAGCACTTGTCTTTTTGTACAGGGATGGCCATGCCAGGGTGGCGTGGAGATTGGGCATTGCAGTCACATTCCCTACCTAACACTCAAAGTCTCTAATTCAACCATTTCTGGTTCTTCTTTCACACATCATGCAGAAGACAGGGAAGGTCTCTGTTCAGATAGTTAAGTAAATGAGCTGATCTCTTCTGTAGGGTTCTGGAGAGTTTATATGTTTATTTTGCTATATTCTGGGTTCTCTGAAAAAGGAAGAGGCTTTGGAGTTAAATGGACTAAAAAAACTGAACTCCATCTGGACAATATAAGGCCTTAAAAACCTCAGTTTTACCTGTAAAATACAGATAAATAAGCTCATCACCCAGAAAGTTTGGTGGAAATAAAGGGG